GACACCGAGGCTGCGAGGGCGGCAAAATACTTTCTTCTCCTCACGCGCAGCTAGTACTACTCCTGGTCACGAGTGCACACCTATACTATGGGGTAGGTTGAACATTGTGCTCTCTGTTGAGCTATTAAAGCTCCCACAGAGAAGGCCGCCCTAGTTTCCAACCTATACTATGGAGTACATGGAGCCTTGTACTCTCTGTTGAGCTATCCAACCTCCCACACAGAAGGCTGCTGAAGTTCTCCAGCCGGTGCTTATTCTCATTGGCCGTTGCAGCCGCGCAAGTCCGGATTACGTCACTAGCCTGCTCTTCATTGCTTTGCACCAGAACCCCATTTTAGCTGTCGTTAACTCTCCAAGCAAGATGGTCCAATTGATTTCTGGAAAGAAGACGCCAACTGCAGTGGACACTGTCGAGCTGCCTACAGATGGCCTATTCGGTGTCAGAGTCTTTCGGCGGTTCTCAATTTTGGTCGAGACCCTCGTTCCTTCTCAGATCTGTGGCAGCAGCTGTGCGGCCGACACAAAGCGTGCCTTTCCAATTGTTTTACATCCTCACAGGGATGGAAAAACTAGGAGCGTCAATCTCACGCTGGAACAAATGCTTCGGAGCTACATTCAGTTTGACTGGCTCTCGAATCCACCGATAATAAGCTGAGTCACTCTTCTACGTGAGGCCATGACTGGCAAGAAACACCTCACGACCATCATTCTCGGCATTTTAGTTGTTTTGGCATCGCCTTCCTCCCATGAACAAGCTGCTTGAGCAACTCTGCGCTCGCAAAGCACGTCCGATACGCGAAGCGGCAGTAAAAAGCATGCGGAGATCAGAAGGCACGCTGCTGAGAATGCTGTAGGAGACAAGGTCTGCCTCAGCAACAACTGTTTAGCAGCTATCAAAGCATGCTCTAAATTTGAGCCTTCTGGGCGCGGCTCGCTTACCATCAGCGAGTGAATCGGCACGGTGGTGTATCATCCGGCATTGCCGTCCACGTTCAGGACATTTTCCGCCTTACTCACCTTCTGCGACACGGCCCTCGCGACCCTAGCCGGGTTGCTGGAGAAGCCGTTGTTGGTTCACTTCTCATGCGTTACGCGGTTGAGGACCTCACTGATTGCCACCAGGTCGACTAAATCTTGGAGCGGCCAGGAACAGGCGACGTCTCCCAGTACCTCGTGAAGTGAGAGGAAGCACCTGAAGAATGCGTTCCTTGGAACTCACTTACAGTATCATCGGCTGCCTGCGATTCTACGAACTTGACAGCTCCGCAAGAGATGCCTTCAAGGGGCACCAACCACCACATCGTCCCCTCATGTTCCCACCATCTCGTAAGCATCTGAGTTCCATTACTCTATTGCTTCGTATGCCGTTCAACTTACATCCTACGTCCACTACTCCACTGTTATTTTCCCTTCACGCTCGGCAAAATATTCATTAAGTCCCTCAAATGGCGTTGATCTGAGATTGCCGTTTCTTCTGCGGCGGTGCAGCGACCGAGCAAGGAAGCTGGGCATGGCACATGACAGTGCAGGAGCACGCTCACATATTCACCCTTACGATGAATATCGAGTTGCACAACCATGCCATGCCTAGAAGGAGAACACAGATTGAGCATTTTAGATATCAGTAATGAATATCTAATATATTGACCCGACATTGGAAACATACATAAAAGCTTACCAAAAAGGCGAATATAAGGATATATTTCTTGTATCTCTATATTCGCCTAAAATTTTGATAAGTCGTTACGTGCATTTTCAAGTTTAATCAATCTATTAGAATTTCATTACTGGCCACGGATAATTAGGCAAGAAAATGCCTAGCAAAACACAAGCTGGTGTTGGTAGGCGCTCAAAAAAGAGAGACAATAGACGGGCAACATACAATAGGAATCTGTAACACCGCAAGTTAGAAAGAACAAATGGTGGGTAATAGTAGGAGACAGGATTGAGGTCTGTATGCAACTGGAATGCAGAAAGTGGCATCAGTTGAAGCAAAAACGGAGCCGCAAAGCAAAAAGACATAGCAGTGGAGAATGATAGAATAAATAGACACGTATGCAAGCAAACGAGCGGCGCGCAAGTAAAGAACGGGAGAATATCAAATGAATCAATGAAAAGAACATGAGGTAATTGCACTGCGAGAAAGAAATAACGGGTCTGCATTGATAGAGTTACTGTAGAGGCTGAATTTAAGCGAGGGAGGATGCCAGAGAGCGACCAGTGGCCCAAGTGAGAAATAGACATTTGACGAATGCATAACTGAACACCTGAGATCACCTACGGCCACTGCCAACATCGCATGATGGGACAGCTACTTGCTGTTGCAGAGCGATTACACTCACACACAAGGACAGAACATTCACGGGGAGAGCGGGAGACGGTGATTGTCATAGGACCGGACAGAACTTGCCAGCAGCTGCTCTGGGGGAGTAAGCACCATTGACTGCTAGGAGCTACGCACAAGAAGATATGCAGCAGCAGCAGACATACAGTTTGAAACGTGCGCTGGCTGCTACTGCAGAGGCAACAGGCACAGCAACGATGACGCAAAAAGCGGGCCCAAAGGCGTGTTGGGAAAATTAGACAGCGAAGGTCAAGGACAAAGGTTAAAACGCCTAGAGTGGAAGTTTTCCAAAAGGAACGGCGGAGTCATGTTGGATAGAGAAAAGCTGTAGTGAGCAGCACTAGAAAGTTGCTCAGGAACGAACTCCAGAGGTTGAAAAAAGGCCGTGCTACACATACTGAAATTAAAAATTGCTACAGTTGAAGAGATCTAGCTACTGCAACAGATCAAGTTCAAGGTGTTCTGCATGGAGGCCAGGATTTGGAGCTCGCAGCGTCAGAAGTACTATCAGAAGCTATAAGCATATCGAGAGATACGGGCAAAGCCTTTCATTCTGAGGAAAGGCTGATAATAAAAACGAAAATACAATATAATTCAAAAGTTCATCCAGTGTCTTTGCCACTTTGAGGCAAGCGTGCATCTATGTAAGCACAGAAGAATCCTATCTGAGAATTTCGCTGGGCCTAGCCTGGTGAATAAGCTTACAGCGTTAAGCTGGTCCATTCTTTCTGCCACTCGGCATGGCACCGGTAAATTTGCATGCTAGAACGTGCTCTTGCTGAACTTCACCCCATTGCCAAAAAAGCCTAATTCTCTGTTGTCAGCGGTAAGGTGGAAACTGAGGACAGCAAAGCTTCACATACTGGAAGGACAGACCATGCCACAAATGTGAGCAGCTTGCTGTGACCCTCGGCATTATCTTTGTACTCAACATCGGAGGATGACCTTCCCTAATTTTCCCTACCTTGCTTGACAGCACTCTTGTTGTAAGCTCTCCCTTCGTGAATCCTACTCTCGCTTAGTGGCATCATCGTGCTTTCCACTTAGCAGTGAGGCATTGCACTGGTTTGCCCAAACAGGCGGATAGGTGGTGCCATGAAAATCGATTAGGAAATCATATTAACAATTCTACAGACATACGGCTATGCGTCGAACGGATCCAAGCTAAATCTGTTTCGATTTCTTGCTTGTCCGTGAAGGGGCGTGCAACACAGAGGAGTATTTCCGGAGAATTACCAATGCAGCAATGCATGAGATTTGGGAATCTGGGCTGCCTCAGACTCTAAATTTTCGAGCACCGTAAACAGAAACTGCTTTACTGAGGGTCCCACTCGGAAGACATGCTCCTGAGAGAAACATTGGCTTTGATCTAGCTCCATATTGCTTATGGCGCTGGGGAATATCATCAAACTCTTTCAGGAGGCGCTCCGAGAGCCAAAACTCTCCACGCGTAGCGGGGGTCGGGTGAGTAATGCATAGTGGGTTTTGAACACATGAGCGTCCACTGAAATCTTCAAGCGGTTTATGATGGGTGTTGAGGATAGCGCGTTCAGCAATTGTTTCTTCAGAGCCTTCCTCATCCCACCTCATCCCACTGATTCCGCCACTACTCTCATGCTCGAAGCCATGTTATATGGATACCCTCCTAGGAGTCACTCTTGTACATTCTATGAGGAACAACTGGCCACTGTGTACGACTTGATTTCATATCCGCCTTTTATAACTGAATACTCACCTAGGGTGGAACGGTATTCAAGCACACAGTGAAGTAGTGTGTGCAGCGTCTCTGTGGTAACCTATAGCTGCCACACTGAGGGGCCTGTTGGTTTTCATGAAAATCCGTTGCAGCTGGCATCTCAATACAGCGCTAGGTATTGCCTCAGGGATACCTTAGTAGCTACCAACACCGAACCTCTCGACAAAAGCTCTCTACGACCGTGTTGCATTTGCTGTCATTATACCTTCCGCAGAGCTGTTGCATATGGCGTAACCCCACATCTATCAGTCGTTAAGCTGACTTGTATGCTTGGTTTCTTTAGGCTGTGCGTAATAAGCTAACGGGGTTAGCCTGCTATATAGCTCCCCCGACAGGCCCTTACAGCCTTTGGCCCCAACATCGATAAGTTATACCCGCAGGGCAGCGCTGCTCTGGTAGTGTCCCTATTTACCTTGAAAATCAATTTGCTGCTCCGGGAAGCACACGACTTTCACTAAGGCTGGCGCTGTAATCCTGAAGTGGTACTGCCTACCACGGGTGAAGCGCCAGATCATCAGTCGATGTCAGCACAGGTGAAATCACACAAAGGAAAGCACAAATATATGAAAGAAATGCTTTCTTTATTAGCATTCACTGTTGCGGACCATTACAGCGAATTGCAGTCCCCTGTCACCACGACTCCCGCCCCTAACCCACCGACCCCAGCAGCCCCAACTGTGTGTTCACCATACACACCAGATTTTGAGCCTAACTCCACCCGAGAAGTATCGAAACCTGGCTCGATTTTCGTATCTGAATTGCCAGGCCCTCTCCTCCTGGCTATCCTGGATGGATTATAGTGTTCGGGACTACATGTCTGATGGCGGCTGTGTCTTCCGTGGTTCAGAGTGGCCCGGTGTACTGCAATTGTCGGCTGCAAGTCATCATCTTTCGTACAGGATGGTGGATTCGCCTTTAAATGAAGAAACACTTGCCGCAACCCAGCCAGCAATATCTCCGTCAACTCTTCCTTCAGAAGGGGCCCTTAGTACGGATGCTTGTGGAGGAGTTCATGCCACGGCAGCAGCCGAGAGAGGCAACTCCAGAGCTTCCCCCAGCTCGGCCCTCAGTTTGCCTTTGTCAGTTTTTGGGGAAATTACCGGTGCTACGGCCGAAGCAGAGGAGAGGGCGGCGGCAGACCTTTACCCTCCCCTGGTTCCCTTTTTGTCCTCCACTTCGATGACTTGTCTGCGGCGGTCCTCGGCTCACAATACAGAGTCGACCTCAACTTTTCGACCGGATGAACACTGTACTCTGGATGAAGTGCGGGACGGACAAAATGACTCGGCAAGAAAGTCCGTCCTCGAAAGCACTAACGAAAATATAGACCCGGCAAAGGATTTGATGGCGCAGAAGCAAACCCAGTTGTCTCTGACGGAAAAAGAATCTTTCTCTGTGAAGTCTCCTAGCGAAGAGCACAGCGTGTCACCTCGTAGCTCAAGCCCTTCGCTAAAGCAGAGTGATTTTGCAGGATCGCGGGAGACAGCTAACTCAGCGTTTGAGAACTTGGCCGTTCCAGAAGCTCGGGGAGTAGCGCGTCACGAGCCCGAACAGGGCCTTGACACAACACACAAAGGGCGTGTGCGGTCCCGGCGCTACAGCACTAGCTCCGACGGCTCTTCCATGTCCGACACGAGGCTAAGAGAGGAGACGCGGCGCAACACAGAGAAAAACGCATCTCCTCTCAGAAGCAGGCACACCCATACGCATCTGCAGCAGAGTTATGTACAATTTCGAAGCCTGGGAAAGAGAAGCAGCGTATCAAGCTTTCAACGGACAGCACCAGCAGCGTCAGCTTCCGCCCCAGTCACCCCAGTGCGTTTTTCCGCGGTGTCTTGGCAGCAGTGTTCGATGCGCTTGGATAGACACACGCCACCAAAACCTCGTGCAGCATTTCCACTGTCACCAGCGTGTACAGAAGCAGTGCCGAGCGCTGTGGCGACACTTGCCGTTGCTACGGCAACACCAACTGCGGATCATCCAACAGCTGGTGTCAGTCCAGTGAAGAGCATCCTCAGGGCGGCGTCAGCCTGCACTAGTGCGCGTAGTATCTCTTCTCGGCGCGTCATTTTCACCCCACTTCCTAAACGTCAAAGTGCATCAGGCGGTGGTGACTGTCAGAAGTCCCCGTGGGCCGATCAGCCCGCTGAGGCGATGGCACGCACTGACAGTGACGCGCCGCCAGCAGTCTTTTTGCCGACAGCATTAGTGCCCACAGAAACAGAGGTAGGTGGAATGCAGCCTGGTTGCAATAGGAGGCATTCAGTTGGGCTTGCCAACTCGTCTGACCAGCCGCGGCAACAGCAACAAGAACATCAGTGTCAGCAGCAGCAGGGCACGCCAGCCTCCATCACTGCCCGGTCTGAAGCCATGCCGCTGGACCCACAAAGCCCCTTTGACAACCTTTGTCGAGTTCGTACATCTCACTATCCAGTGCAAGGTGAAGCATCCGAGTCACAGCTTCAGAACTGTAATTACCCAGCGGAAGACCGGCAGCATCGCCGTCAGACTACCCTAGGAAGCAGGCTAAGCTCGAAGGCAAACTTGGAAGCTCAAGAGGCTGCAGAGGAGCTTGAAACTTCCAATGATGCAGAAGTTTCAGCGGCTGAAACGGAGGATCGAACGGAGTTCGCACAGGAAACTGCGGTTACGGGGGTCGTTACATCCGTTGAACTCTCACTCGAGGTAGCGCGTGAATTAACAATACACACTCCATCACCCTGCACCACGCACCTTTCTGAAGCACAGGCATCGAAAAGTGAAGCGTCACCAGCTAAAAAACGCATAGCATCACCTGGTAGGTCAGCTCCTACGACAACAGAGACTGCAAGAGACGGGGTTTCAGGGAAGGAGACGAATGGGGAACTTGGAAGGCCGAGTCGACAAGCCACGTCAGAAGGAGGAATACCCATAGCAGACACAGTACCAGAGGTTACGAGCGGACGTTCTTCAGCTGAAACTCGTGGTGAAGCTCAAGCTTCTGTCGGAGACGGCGGCACCTTTACCTGCTGCTGTTCTTCGACGCGAGTGCTGGTGGTGAGCAGTGAAGGAGAAACAGAATTACTGCTACATTCCGCCTCCTGCCTTGTGGCACCGGCCATGAGCGAGCCGTTGCATGCAGACCCGACTCCCCAACGAAAGGCCCCTGCTAGGCCCCTGCCTGAAGGAAAGTCGCGAACATCGGGCGGTGTTGCTGTTTCCAATGGCGCTGGTGCTCCTTCCCCTGCTGCTTCGGTGCAAGCCTCAGCAGCGGCAGCGGCAGAAAAGAAGCCCCACCATACTAGGGATGAGGCCATAGACAGCCATAGGGATCCGCCTGCCGCTGCTGCGCATTTTACGCAGCAACACCAGCATGAGCAAGATCCGTTGCATTCAACGAACGATTCCACCAGCAGCCTAGCAGATTCTGGTTCTGAAGTCCGGCAGCAAACTGTCCCCTTCACTTTGGTGGACGCACCCACGTACGGAACAGCGATAGCGCTTCCTCCTGTTGCATGCCTCAAAGCAAGTTTCGAAGAGGGCGAGCCGAACGGAACTGCCCATGCATCTCTTCCCAGTGGTACAGGCACAGAGCAGATACTGGTCCACCAACAACAGCAGCAACGGAGGGGTTCCGGTATTGAAGCAGAGCTTGATTCACCAAGCACCTCTGATATTTCCTCAACTCCCCTGACTCCATTTGCGGGACCTGATCCCCTCAGCGGAGACGCGCCGTTGTCTCCTCGGCTAGCAGTCCCTACCGGAGGAGGCGGGTCCCGCATCGTGAGCACGTCTGCTATGTCTTTCCTCCTTAGTGTCAGGCATCAGCTTGAAGCCGAAGCAGCGGTACAGCAGCGCAGGCAAGAGCAGAAGCAGCAAGGCCCCTTGGAGCAACGGCATACAGAAGATGCAGCATTGCACGATGTGCACGAGAGGGGAGTGCACTTATGTGACGGCGCTACGAACACAGAGGAATCGCCGACGAAGCAACAGGAGCAACAGCAGGGGCGACGACAGCTGGATATCGAAAAGCCACAGCCCCATTTTGACGCAGTCCCCAATGGTTCTTGCAGCTATCAGCAGCAACGGTGCGGGGACTCGGTCAAGTTACAAGAAGCCACTTCAGAATCAAATGGCGGTGCCTTAACTGGAGGGCCTTCCACCAGCAACTGCTGCAGCAATGATCGTGTTTGCGAGGCGTCTCGTTCGCCTTTGGGCTCTCCCAAAGAATCAAGGAGGGAATCGGACGCCAGTGCAGCAGCAGCATCAAGCACAAACAGTCACTGCCACGGCAACAGCAGCGAGATCCGAAAGAGTGTGAGCAACGCGACTGCCGACAAAGCTACCAGCATCAGCGTCAACCCACAGTGGCGCACACAATGGAGAGCGTTGAATGCCTTGACGAACAAACTGTTACAGGGCTTACCGAGAGCCCTTACTGTCATTGCGGAGGGAGATAATGACGTCTCACCTGTGGAACGGACATCAGCAGCAGAAACACCATCTAAGCCAGTTGCACGAGATACGCATGCCAAGCCAGCTGCTGAGGCGCAGCGCGCTTCTCCATGTATATCTTGGGTGGACTTCAGAGAGGAGCGCCTACAAGAAGTGAGTGGAGAGCTGTGGTCTCACGGCTGCTAGACTACTGCTGCAGTAACTGGTCTTCTGATTGTGTTTGTAAGGCTTATGGGTGTCAAGAAACTTCTGAATGCGAATAGGCGTGTGCTGCAGTTACAGCTTAGCGAGAAACAGCATCAAGATATTGCAACACAGGGCAATATGCATGAAAGAGGCGATGAGGCGTCAGAGATCCAAGAGTTTCTAAGCCAGCGACTGATGAAGCGTGGCGCCTCTTTTGCTGCAGCAGAGGCAGAACAGCTGTTAACGCAACGAGCCAAAACACGTAGGGAATGGGAAGAGGTCTATGAAAAGACTCAGGAAGTGCTGCAGCAGCAGCTGCGAGATCATACTGAGCCGCTGTTTCAGCAGACATCACAGGACTTCAAGGTATATCTGCTGTTACTGTTGGTTTTCAGAAGCAGCACTTCACCAGATGCAAGGCCAGAAACCTTGCCATATCGAAGGCAAGCTCTTTGCCAGACACACGCATCTGTTGTGCTTTGGCTGCTGCTGCAGCAATTGGGGGAGGCTTTAGAGGTCGCTTCCAGCCAGACTGAGCGAGCTGCAGAGGCGAAACGACTCCGATTGAGCAAGGAATCCTGGGAGTCGAGCTTCATGTGCGTCGTATGCGTAGTGTCTATCTTCTTCGGCAATCGGATAACGGTGTCGATGGTCTCTGCAAGACATGGCGCAGGAATTTCTTTTGCGTTGAGCGCCATGGATACCTATTTTTCTCCGCGCACTGTTGCTGCACAGCTTTTTAGATTCTGCTTAGAATCAGTACATGCTCATAGTACATGCTCATCGCATGATTCAGCGTCGCTGCTGTTGCAGAGCTATTCTGTTGCAGAACTGTTCACGCGCCTGCTGGTTTGGCAATTGTGCTCCGTTCTAACCATATTGATAATAACACGGTGCAACTTCAATTCACCGTCAGCATGTTTGAGCGTGCGCAGTGCTATGGCGGAAGAACGTCACTTCGCGCTGCAGTCTGCGGCCAAAAATGTTGACGGAACGGCCGCATCTTTGGGCCACTTTTTGGAACAGGAGACCCAGGTGAGTTGATCGCTTTCAGCTTCTCATAAAGCCTCTTCATTTGCTACGATCGCAGGTCTGTTTTATCTTGCCTGTTGCGCAGCTGGCGGAGGAAATAGCGGCGATGGAGGCGGAGATTAGGGGATTCGACGACGCAAGTAGCGATCTGCGGGTGTGCAAGAAGACTACAGTAGTGTTGCTAGCTTCTCTTGGCACATATCTTGACGAGGTATAGCACGTGGTTTCCTGCTGTTGCTGGCTTTTATGGAGACCTCCATTCTGTTTTCCAGCGCCAGTGCACTTTTTTCTGTTTTGCAGCTTCTTGCGGATATCCGCCACAAGGAGAGCATTGTTGAAGCATTTGGACGCCTTAGTGGGGTCCGCATACATCGAGTCAGCACTACAGGGCTAGTCGCCGAGTTAGCCTGGCCTCGGTCCCTTCCCAGTGTGGCTGCGCTCCAGTTGGCTGCCGGAACCTGTGGCACAGATGCAGTGGCGCAGCGCGAATGCAGCAGTAGCCCGTTTCATGGGCCTTGTGCCTCAGCCGATTATCCCGTGGCTTCAACAAGGATCGCTATTTCTTGGGATCGCCAGGCGGCGGAGCCAGCACAGATGCTAAAGCGGTCGCAGCCTGCTCCTCAACTTGCTTCCGTGCCTACAAAAGCTGCAGCCAAAAGAGCTTCGCAAATCCCTGCTGCTGCTACTGATTCGTCGACACCACTAAGGCAACGCGTGCAAATAATGAGGCCGTGTTTTCCTCCAGGAGGCCCTTTCAGCGACTTTGCAGTCTGCACACCACTGCTAGCCCCTCGGCGAGGAAGAGCACAAGACGCCGGTGCAGCGGTCCCAGATGCAGTGTGTCCAGCACCAGGTGCCTCAGCAGCGTGCCAGACTGGTGTTGCGTCGCGGCGACATCAGGCAGACGCAGTGCAAGGCACAGTCAGTGAACCGCGATTCTTACCCATTACCAGCTGCAAGCTGCAATCTCGTTTCCCAGTGTTACGAGCTGCAGCAGCAGCAGCTACGGCCACTGGCGCGGCCAATGGTGATGCTCTACCTCCACATAAAAGGTGGATGTTTACTGTGGACTTGCTGCGTTATTTCCTTCTAGGAGCTGTGCAGCGGTCGCTACAGCAGATGCTGCAGCAGGTGAGCTGTTTTGTTGCTGTGTGGCTAACGCGTGTCAAGACGCTCAATCTTGCCTGCTGTTAAAGAAATTGCGTTAACGCTGTTTCTGTCTTTTATTTGTTAGCAAAGATGCAGAGGTGATGAAGGTGATGAGCATATGGGGGCAGCGACGACACAGGACTCGTTTGGTCTCACTTCAGCAGAATCCTCTGCTGACCGTTTCCGCCATGACACTGATATGAGGGGTTTTAATCGCAGCGATGACATGAGCAACTGGTCATCTGCGGAGACAGGCAGCAGCAGTGCAGCGGGAGCAACTGATAGTCATTCTGAAGTCCTAGGAGCCCCACCCTTCCCGAACTTGTCTGTTGTGAGGGCGCTTCTGCTTCATGCACATGCGGCTGCTGGAAGAGTCGCTCTGCTGCATGACCAGCTGCTCCTTGTTCTTCATTCCTTCACAAGTGTTACATCTGTTAGCTGTACGTTTATTTGGATCGTATTATGGGCAATGCTGTAGGCGCAATTTGCACTGCTTGCGGTTGCACGAATTGGTGGCAGATCATAGCTCCTGCGTCGAGTGCACTTTTTAGAATAGTCTCGAGCCACACCTATTTTTTCTATTTCTTTTGGTCTTTTTCCAGTTGAGGATCAAGGATTGGAGCCTTCACTGCCTCATCTAATCTTCAAGACATTTTTGGCGCCCTCAAACGACGAGCTTCCCGTGCTCCAGCTCAGTCTAACTGTAAGGACCCCATTACCATATTTCTTTATACTTGTCCATCATTCATACAATTATGACTCCTGGCTATAGCACCAGTCTATCTGACGAGGCTGAAGGTGCCCCTATAACAATTTTCTTGTGTTGCGGGAAAATCTGATGAAGCTTGCGAATGATATGTGGTTGTTATCTCTCTTGTCGACACTGCTGTCGCAAGCAGGAGTCTACGATCACATCAGGCGTCGCCATGTCGATATCTGCGAGACCAGCTTGCGATATTGCGGCTTTCTGGCGTATTTTGGTTGCAGATTAACTTAAGTGAAGCGCTTTCTCGCGGTTCTTTATTGCTTGCGGTGGAATCAGTGGACGTGAAATGTCTTTCGGCTGTTGATGACCTTTGCAGCGATGGGCAGAGGGTTTGCAGGGCGTTGCATGGGACAATTCAGTCCCGTCTCAAAGCACTGTGGTGAGGTAGTCTGATTGGCCACCTTTTTAGCCGTGCTTCGTTGAGTATAACGCGACAAAATTGCGGGCGCTCGTTTAGGTATTGGGGCTTCTAAAGATTGCATTGATGTGCTCCCTCTAGGGATCCAGAGCAACAACAGCCATCCGTAGAAGGGTGCATGAAGGCATTCTCCGACCAGGGGCTTGTGGAGTGCCTTTACTCTGCTTGCGACGAAGGTGAGGGGTATTGGTGGCTCTGGCGATTTGCCATCCTTTTTACGCTATTAGTAAGGCTCCATCATCTTACGAGTCGACGGGGCCAAACGGGGTTGTTCTGTGCATCATGCGCTGCAGCTGGTTACACCTGTGCTGTAGAGGACTGGCAGCGAAGTAAGTTTGAAAGCTCGTATACAGGAGACGCAAACGATTCCGTTAAATTTGTTTCTCGGGGAGCCGAAGAGGCTACCGCTTTGGGACGCTGGGCTGCTGTTCTTGAGGGAGCGGAAGTTGTGTCGCTTCTCCATTAAGAAGCACAGCCACTTGCAACAAGACAGGCAAAGCAACGCGTGCTCGTTGGGACACGCAGGCAGCGCGTGAAGGCTCTTTCACCATTGCTTTGCAACTGTTTGCCCGTGCGAACAAAACCCTGCATTAAGTGAAGAGAGCTGTAACAAGAGAATTCAGCTTCAGGCGCACTTAAAGATGTGACGCTGATCTCCTCAGTACGAGCCCACACCTTTCTTCACTTTCGGCGCAAACGTCGGAAGTATTGCCTCGAGTCGAAGAGCGGGAAAGTCCGTGGGACTTACTTAATTTTTTTAAGCAACACGCCTTATGAACTAGTATCCTTTATGTCCTATCATCACAGATATCGTGGATGAGGCTCATTGCAGGCTGCCGTGATTTTTTAGTTGATAGGAAAGATTGCAGATACCCAAAGCGGCACTTCGGTAACGGTGAAGCCACCTGCTGAAACCCAAGCACCTGCTCCTCTAAAGGAAAAATAGGTGTGGCTCGATACTATTCTTAAAAGTGTACTCGACGCAGGAGCTTCATTATTCCGACGCATATTTCCGCGCTTGTTTCTCAGCGAGCTGAGTACCACACTGCAAGACCATATTTGCGGCATTTCACAGTTGTAGCCGTCTAAACCAAAGCCTGTCTACTTGACAGCGAGAGTATCCAGCGGTTACCAGAGAGGCAGCCGCCCCGACGAACTGGCTCGCTTGTAACTTGTTATATTCGTAAAGGAGGGAAATATATAGTTCGTAGCAAGCGGGGAGTGCGTCCTGCTGGGGAATATCAGGGCATCTGTCGACGAACCTTGATATGGCAGTATAGTTTCTCAATTATCCTGCTCTCAAAAGTGACCGCAGAAAAATATTCGATGGGGTCGTTCACCCTGAATCCCTTTGCACCATCAAATCACGAAGAAGCAACTGTTACCAGGTTGCCCTGTCTTCGGATATGAGGATTGCTCCCCAAACAAGAACTCGATGGCGTCTGCGCAGACTTTGGTTTGCCCTCGGAGCCAGGCAATACACGGACTTTCAATTTTCTCGTCGCTGCCAGTGGAACTTAAACTGTAACTTCAGTATCTATTGTGTGTGGAGAGAGAACCAAAGTGGTCTCCACTCTATGCTTGCAGCTGCAGACAGAGGGGCATTACCTCGATAAGAAGCGTGTGCGCCTACAGAGAAACGCAGGCTGGGTTCTCACTAGCGACCAAGCGCTGGGATAGACAAGAGCCGCAACAAATTCCCGCCTCACTATGCCTAATGGCAGTGACACTGTAGAATTCTGGCTACTCTCGCGAGGGAATGCTAAAAAGATGTTGAGTTCCTCGTGGTCCCTATGCCTCCAGGCGTGCCTAGGAGTATATCTACGCCTGAACGACCACCTGACGCAGTGCTGACGCATGGCAAGCGTTTCGCCTTTTACTGTACAGAAACAGCAAGCATCAGTAATTTTTCTCCTCTGTACTCTGTACATCGATGAACGTATCCCCTAGCTATTTGACTGAGTGAACGAATCTCGTGGGGGGGCAGTAGCCGCAAACATACAGCGGCCTAGAGTGGCTTCTGGAGGAATTGAGAAGCGCGTTGATAGCGTAGTTGGACAGAATAGACACAGCGACACATAAAAGGGCCAAAAATACGTGCCACAAGCGCTTAGGTCTCTGTACACTCCAATGCTAGAGTAGCTAAGAAAGAAGGGCAGGGCATGTGTCAGGGGAGAGCGCTGGGTTCCACTGGTTGGAAAATTCCGGCATTTCGCACAATGTACGACGTTCTCCTGGGTTGAATTTTGTGGCAAGCCAGCATGGGTAAGCGCAAATATGATTGTAGCTGACGTACATAGGACTAACTCTGCTGCGTGACGACCCCCCAAGCTCATCAGGTCCAAAAGAAACGAGACCGTAGAAATCGCCGTATCCGTTAGTTATGGCTGGGATTTCTGCCCTGCCACTTGCGCCATTCATCCTGGGGGAGTGATTTGCAAACCGAAGAAAGTTCTTTGGAAGGGTAAGCGGGCCTCTGCTGCCTGGCTTGTCGCAGGCAGGCATTTCCGTGCAGGGCGTTCGAGGTATTGGGTCGTAAGTGAACGCAACATTGCGCCCGTTCACTCGCTTCGCCCAAGCAGCCATGAACGCAGAGTCGCCAGTGCGCGGAGCCCCGAAGATAACTGCGTCTACTTTAGTCGGATAGTTCAAAGCAATGCCGTATGCCATGAGAGCTGCCACTGCTCCACCTAGAGAGTAACCGGTTACCAAGATCCGACTCAGAGGTGCCTCAGGCTTGTCCACGGAGGCAAGGTACACCTGCAGTGCTGGCCAAGCGGCGCTGAAGATGTGAGAAAAACCGGCAGCTGTCCTACCTTCTCCATCCCCTAACCAATTAAAAGCATGTTCCGCCTGGCCATTCAAAATCCACTCAACTTGTGTTTTTGTACCTCGAAATGCAATAAGCACCTCCGTTCCTCTTCGCCCAGCCACTGCTAAGACATTAGTCCTGTTCCCCACGCCTGGGGAAAGAGCCTTTAATATTAGCTCCGTCCTCCAGCCAGGTAGCAGGTCCTGACCCTGCAGGTGCGGCACTCCCTCAGGTAGCTCACGGGTTGAGCTACGGGCCCGGGCTGAAATTTTTTCGCTGCCTACAGGCGTCGGTACACGCGCTAAAGGGTTTGTCGGTGGCACATCAGACCCTTGACCTGCTGTCCCCCCTGAAGACGGTTCAGGAGTCAGATTTTGTAAAGTCCAGAGAGGAGACGTAAACAGTCTTGCTGGTTCCTCTTCTGGCTGTTTTGTAGATTCTGACTCCCCAGAAGACAATGCAGCACGTGTGGTTGGCTTGGTTGTCGGTCCTAAAGTCCACAACGACAGCGCTGGAGTCCCTCTAATACCGGGAAGAGATGCGCTTTCAAAAAGTTGGGGGACTTGTGGTGATTGCTCTTGCTTGTTATCTGTTTCCTGATTACTTTTCCCCTCGTTTTCTTCGTTCTTATCACCTTGTTTTTGCTGCTCTTGAGCTTCTCCCTGCAAGCGTCTTCTGTCTTTATTGGTGCGTGATTGCATAGTATTATTTGTCCCTGCAGGGTTCTGAGACTGCAAGTCTCTGCCGCAGTAGGCGAGGGCCCATATGTCATCTAGTCGAGTAAGTGCTTGCCACAGTAGCTGGTAAGTTGGTCCCTCCAAGCTAATGACATCTTTGGGGGTTTTCTTAGGGATGCCTCGTCTTGCATGTAGGAGGTTTCTAAGAGGCAAAGCAAGCGTCTCAGTACCCCCTGGCGGCAACACCACGGGAGACAAAGGCGGTTTTCCGTGAGCTGTTTCATCACTTATGGCCTGGCAGGGGTCAAACCAGGCTGTGCGGCAAAGAATGCGCTCAGTGAACGCCCCCAGGAGCCAGCAGGAAAGCTTTCGATTAAGAGCAGATGTAGGAAGTGCTGCACACGCCATGTCTCCCAGGTTTACTCGAATGGGAGCCCCTTCGAGAGCCTGCAGTACATTTCCCAAAAATGAGCCCTGCAGCTGTGGCGCAGTCCACTGCAGCTCGTTGGAGTTGACCTGATGCTGAAGCCCCTCTAAGACGCCTTGCTGGACGCGTCGTGGCACGAAGACCGGCTGACGTTGAGAGCCTGCGCCACGCATTAACCGGGATTGAGAGAGCAACTGGGATGCGGTCTGGCCCAAAAGCGAGCGGTGGATGTTTTCTTGGATTCCAGTGCTGTTTTTAGGCCATAGAGTGAAGTTAGCTTGCATTGCTGCATTGCGTGTCCTCAATCCAGAGCCGTTTTCCCAGACAAATTGCGGCAGCATAGGTGTTCGCGACGCTACTTCTACGAGCATCGTCTGCTGATGCCTCTCCCTTGGTGAAGCTTCTCGGGAGAGCAGAAGGGAGTCGGGCTGTAGCAGCCTAGGACTAGAAGGCATCATCTGGTTACCAAAGCGCGTGTTGTTCGTCACCACCCGCAAGCTTTGTTGGCCAAAAGCGACAAGGAGAGGCAATAGCTGGAGCTGCTGGAAACGTCGGGCGACGCCCATCAGGAAGCTCTGGGATGGGAGTTCCTCGGTGCAGTCCCTCACGGTTTCACCGGCCCCAATAACAATCGTAACGGTCATGGGGGAGAAGAGTGAGGCGGATTCATAGTGGCGTGCATCAGGCGGGGCCGGCGCTGGGGCAGAAGCCGCTGGCGGAGAATCAGAGGATTGAGAAGAAACTGAATCTGAAGTCAAAGTCTTATCGGCAGCTTCGACGGAGGATGGAGCACTCGTTTGGCCCTCGTTATCCGCTGTAGAAGGAGGCGCTGTAGGAACGGCCATGCGATCATCTTCTTTTTCAGCATTAGCTGCATGGGAGAGGAGGGGTGGCTGAGCTGGAGTGGCAGGCGTGACAGCTGCAGCTGGTGGGATGGCAAGCTCAATTCCAGCATCATTGAGGGGCTCGTTATGCTCCTGAGGGAATCCGCAAGGCAATAACGCTAACAAGCACAATATTGCTGAGGACAGCCTGCTACGGTGGTACGCCAATGACCTTCGGAGGACCCGGCAGTCGGCAGAGGCGCCAGGCGGCAGCATTCTATGTCGAATAGGGCAGGCCGGTTCATGCATGCGGGTCTCCGACGAACTACAGGTATCCTGGTATTTTTGGATGCCACGCCAGCTGCGGCGTTTGGCTCCGAAGCCAGTCATGAGTAATGTGTTGAAGATGAATGGCTTTGCCTCCTCAGGGCATGTACACGCCGAGTTTTAATGCGTTCCGCTTCCATGAGATTAAATATTGCGAAAAACCAAATATGAAATACATAAGCAATTCGTAGAGGCAGTTTTACTAACAATTCTCACGTTGCGAAATGCGATATGATTAAAACAAATATAGCAGATCACCAGTCCGCTCCACCCACACCGGCACGCGACGACCGGAAGCCAAGACGCTTCACTCACTTCAAAAACAAGTCAGTTTGATCTATGTAATGGCTAATTATCAGCAAATTGGGGGAGTAAAGCTCCTGCACGCTGTCGTTGTTT